CTTCTTCTATCATTTCTCTCTTGTCAGAGGCCAGGCCAACGGAATACCATTTCCCCTCAATCTGTAATAGATAAGCAGGTCGTTAAGGCAGGAAGGGCAGGGACAGCACATGGACATGTTTCTACTCTAACCGTGGCCTATGGCCAGGGCATGAGCAGCCACAGGATTAGATGTCACATCAGTCGGCATAATACTTAACCTCCTGTCTCTGTCTCTCTGTGGGCATGAAGGACCCCAGGCATTGTTAGATATGGATAGCATACAACTGGTCTCACTTCAGGGTATGAAGCCAGTCATTTGTCTAATAGATTGAGGAGCTGCACCGCTCCCCTCAAAGGACCCACTTGACTTCAGAGTTCCCCGAAGCACCCCCGGAGTCAGAAGTTACTGTTCCCCACGAGTCTACCTTTTTTGGATTAAAGTTCTTTCCCCTGGCACTAGTTTCTCCTTCTGCGTGGACAAAGACTAGAGTCAGCTCCAAAGCCAGCAGCAGCAGCATCAACAGCAGCTTCATCTCGGTAGGGAACAGAATGGTCTCTTCGTCAGGACTGAGTCTTTCCCGGTGGGACTGCCCTCCGCTCCCCAACGCATTATATACTTTCTGAGTTCAGTGGATTTTTGTTTTTGTTTCTTTTTTTGGATCTTCTCCACCTTCCCTCAGCCTCTGCAGAGTGTTTTCTCAATTACTGATGTGAGGCCATGGACTGTTCCTGCCCTTTTCAGACTTGCCAGTCTGATCTCCTAAGGATTGATTTAGTAACCTTATGTTTCTCAAAACAAACAAGAAAAATAGTGGATGCTCTAGAGAGCTGCCAATGGAACCTGCCCGATGTAACTTTGGTTCTGTGTAGGGGATGGAACTGAACTGGGAGGTCAAGTGTGTAGAGAATTTCTGTTCTGAGACTCGAGTGGAGTGTGGAAGTAGATGGATTTATCATTTTCTGAAAATATTTACTTTTATCCTATGTTCATGAGTGTTTGTTTTGCATGTGTGTCTGTGTTCTACTGCCTGCCTGGTGCCGTCGAGGTCAGAAGATGAGTCAGTCCCTTGAAACTGGTTCTTGTAGAGGACAGAGTTCAGTTCCCAGCACCCAAATGGCAGCTCACAACTGACTGTAACTTCTCTTACAGGAGACACACCCTCTTTTTGCCCCTGTGCCCTCCTGCACACATGTGGTGCATTTAAACTCATGCAAGCACACACATATAAAATAATAAATATTTTTTTAAAAAATTAACGATTATCAAGCAAGGTCCTCCCAAGGTTAAGCTGACAGACTCCATCCCCAAAGTCCTTCCAAGCTTTCTTCAGAGAGCAATAATACCAGAATGCAAACTGCTAAGTTAATAGTCAAGTTGCATCAGCTATTTTTTTTACCTGAGAGACCTTTGGACTTCAACAGACTGGACATAATCTCATCAATAAAGGAAAACAATATTTTTCAAAGTCATAAGTTCCAAGCAGGAATTATGCCAAGAGTCTGCTTACAAAGGCACAGAGTTACAATGGGAACATACTTTGTAGCAGTACAAATTTCACTTACCCTGGAACCAGAAACATAAAACAGTGTTTGATGTGGGGACATATAGAACTCAACAAAGAGGCAGGTACTTAAGATTTATTTTATTTCAACCTTGCACCAGCTCTATATTGTATGTACTGTTTTATTCATTTGACCATAGTGTGAATTAAGACTCAGAAAGATTAAGTAACTGTACAAGGTCATCCAGCCAGTCAATGGGAGAACTTAGGTTTAAACCCAAGACCGTCTGACCCAGGAGGCCTCTGTCCTTATTAACTCCACTACCCAGGTCAGGGTGTTTTTAACACGAAGGGAGGATGATTAAAAAGAGGAAACTAGGAAACAGTGCTGTAGACCTTCAACGTGTCTGCCTAGTAGGCAGTACTGGATAACTGCACATGGAATTCTTTCCAATACAGAACTGTGGGTGTGGGTCAAGATGGAGTAAATGAGGTCTGGCTACAACTCTCTCCTGGTCTATAAGTATTTGATGGGTGAACGGGTGAATGGTTGACTTGGGGTGAGTGTTTTCTCTTTCTCCTCTTCCTTTTTTGTTGTTTATGGTGTGTGTGCACATGGGTGTGTGTGCACATGGTTGTGTGCACATGTATGCTAGTATTTGCAGAAGTCAGAAGAGAACAGCAGGCATCTCCCTCTACCCCTTTTCTTCCTGTTCCCTTGAGATGACAGGGTCTCTCACTGAAACTGGAGGTTGCTGTTTTTCAGTGAGGCTGGCTGGCCAGCAAGTCCCAGAAATCCTCCAGTCTCCAGTCTCCACTCACTGCTAGGGTTAAAAGTGCATTCTGCCATGACCATCTTTTAAATGTGATTTCTGCGGGCCTGATCTGACCTTCCTGGAACCCTGCATAGTAAGTGCTTACCCACTGGTCCATCTTCCCAGCACCTCACATGTAGGCTGGCCTTGAACTTAGGGTGTAGCCCTGAATGGCCTAACATATGTGGCAATCTTCCTGCTCCAGCATCCTAAATACTGGGATTGCGGGTTGTAGACCCACACCAGCCACATAACCAGCCAACAGCCCATTTTTAACTAGCTGGCATTTCTGAAACTAACTTAATAAAAGGAAATAGGTTTAATGACCTTGACCTCAGTCTCACTCTCAAGTAATTGAATAAGTAGCTCATTCAGAAAGCCTGTGGAAACACTCAAGTCATTTATATGACGCCAAGGTGTGTTCAGTGCCAGGAGTGTAGCAAGGAACACACGTTTATTTGATTCAGGTCCCAGGCAGAAAGATTCCGTAGTCCCCTAGAAGCCAGAGTGACAGTACAAAGTGCTAACACTGGCTTGACATCTGTCTTGTATGAAGCAGGAACACTAGGTCACGGTTTTGTTAAGTCATTGAGGGGAGAATGTGGACCCCAGGGAGACCAGCACCTCACAGGTGAGAGGAGTCTGAGGCAGGTAACAGCTGTGACTGTTAGCTAACCACACTCCTCACAACCAAGCTACAAGCATGGAGTGGGTGAGGTGCCTACGCCAAGGGCAGGGTGATTACAGCAGCTTGGAGCTCACACAGGTCCTGCTCCCTGACACACTGCCTCTGAGCAACAAGATAACTGGGATGAAGAATGGTTTGTTTTCTGGATTAATCTCCTCAGAAGACTTCTGTGGTCCATGCTGCTGCTGGAGGCCATGTTGGTGTCCATGATCAGTAATGCCGCAGCAGGCTTTGCTGATGTCTGCGGTCTGTGCTGGCCCGAGGGACCAGGTTGATGTCCGTGGCCTGTGCGGCCACTGGAGGCCATGTTGCCATCTGAAGTCTGTGCCGCTGCCGGCTACCATGGCAAGGAAGCTTTCTTTGCTGTCCACTGACTGCAGACTCTTCACTGAGAACGAGAGCGTTGACGGCTTCTGGGACAACAACCCCCTCAACAAAGAGAGCGAACAGTTCAGACAGGAAATAGTGACGAGAGCCCTCAAAACAGTAATAGAGATGCTGAGGTGCAGCTCTTCCCAGTCGATGGCTTGTGGCGTGGGTGTGGCGGGAAGGACTCACTTCTCTTTAAGGGGCTGGCCACTGTGGGTTTGACCATGCTCCAGGGAGAATATGGGCAACACAAGTGGAGGCTTTTGGGGGGTGGGGCATGAGGGTGGGAGGGTGGACCTGAGTGAAATGGAGAATGTAATGGGGTACCTTGTACAAAATTCCCCAAAATTAATAAAACGTATTACATTGAGGAGATACTTAACTGTCTCATTTCTGGAAGCTGTTACTCTGAGAACAAGGTGTTCAACTGAGTTTGTTTTTTCCTGTGGTCTTTCTCATTGGATTGTAGGCGTCTGCCTTCTTATGTCTTCAGGAAGTATTCCCTCTGGTGCAGCCTGTGTCCTAGTCATTTCTTGTAAGGACACTGGGCATATTATGTTAGAGTCTCCCTAAAGACCTCCTCTTACCATAATTACACAAAACCATACTCTCAGGCACTGTGGGTGAATCTTTCAATGCCTGTATTTTTGGTGGACACAGTTCATCCCATATAAGCTCATATGGGTCCATGAGGAACTTCACAGACAGGTGGCTTTCCTATAAATGAGAAGCAAGTAAAGAGTTTTTTTTTTTTTTTTTTTTGGTTTTTTGACACAGGGATTCTCTGTGTAGCTTTGCGCCTTTCCTGGAGCTCACTTGGTAGCCCAGGCTGGCCTCGAACTCACAGAGATCCGCCTGGCTCTGCCTCCCGAGTGCTGGGATTAAAGGCGTGCGCCACCAACGCCCGGCGCAAGTAAAGAGTTTTAAGAGTTCAACAGGAGCATGGTCAGAGGTGTGCTTTTAAAAGCTCATCTGACTGTATCCAGATAAGAAAGAACAAAAGGAAGGCCCATGCTTTAAGGGCTAAAAAGGGTACTAACAGAAGTTCTCAGCCTGTGGGTAGTAACCCCACACAGGGGTGACATATGAGAAATCCTGCACATCAGATATTTACATTACAGTTCACCACAGTAGCAAAATGACAGTTATGAAGTAGCAACAACATGATTTGATGGTTGGGGGTCACCACGACATGAGGAATTGTACTAAAGGGTGGCAGCATTAGGAAGGTTGAGAACCACTGTGCTAGGAGATCATGAAGGAAACTACTGGAACATGCTGTCAAGAGATTAGGTTAGCTTCCTCCCACGATGGCTGGAATGAGAGACTTTTAGAGAGAAACTCCATGGTGGGCGTTTGGTGAGCGTGAAGGGTCAAGATCATTGTAATTTCATGTGTCTTTATGTAGATAAATTTAGAGTCATTGTGATAAACACCATGACCAAAGCAGCTTGGGGAGGAAACAGTTGTAGTCCATCATGAAGGGAAGTTGGGGGCAGCAAGTCAATTCAAGAACCTGGAGGCAGGAACTAAAGCAGAGGCCACAGAGGAAGGCTGCTTCCTGGTTTGTTCCTCTAGATTGTGAGCCTCCTTCTTCCTTAATCAGGACCCCTGCCCAGGGTGGTGTTCCATAGTGAGCTGGGCCTTCCTGAGTCAATCATTCATCAAGAAAACGCCCCGCAGGCTGGACAGTGGCCAGTTTTATAGAGGCATTTCTTGAGGTTCCCTCTTTCCAAATAACTGACTTGAGTCGAGGTGAAACAAAAACAAAAATGAAAAAGTAACCGGGGCAGTTATTAATGAAGGCAGAACAGACAGAAACCAAACCCAAAAACTCTACACGAGAAACAGAATAAAAATAAGCCCTTTGGCCAGTGTTCTGAGACCTGATGTCTGTGTCCCTTGTACAAGTGGGTGTGAGAGTGGTTTGTATACTGTTGACTGATATACGTAGATGCTGGTGAATGAGAGTTGGTGCGAGAATGCGCACATCGAAGGTCCTGGATTCGAACCTTTGTGATGTAGACAAGTCTTGCTTCTGTCTGCCTTTTTCTTTTCTATCTTAATACTCAGACTTTTCTATGTATCTGGCTGTGAATAGCCTCATGAATTATGCTCAGGACTTTCCCCTTCGAATGTATTGAGATGACTCATATATAACTGTCAGTCATTTTATAGATCAAAATGAATTGTGTT